ATTTGTCTTACAAATTGTTTGTATGTTCCGAATGTTATAAGAAACATTATTTCTATTACAGTAATGGATAGAGAAGGTTTTAAGTTTGTTATTGAGAATGGAAGATGTTCCATTTTCAAAGATACAACTTTTATATATTCCAGAAATTTGACAAATGGGTTATATACCATTACACCACAAAGCCCTATCCTAACTATTCAACAAAATAAAAGAAAATTAGATAATCATAGTTCATTCACACTTTGGCATGCTCGATTAGGTCATATATCTGTAAAGAGGATTAACAAATTGGGACCAAAACTCGACCTTAGGGGAGAGGAAAGGTTGCCTACTTGTGAGTCATGTCTTAAAGGTAAAATGACAAAATCACCATTTGTTGGACAAGTGGAGCGAGCTAAAGGTCTGTTGGATTTGATCCATACAGATGTTTGTGGACCACTAAATGTTAGTGCCAAGGGGACTACTACTATTTCATAACTTTTACTGATGATTATTCACGGTATGGTTATGTAAGGTACAAATCTGAAGTATTTGAAAAGTTCAAAGAATTCAGAAATGAAGTAGAGAAACAAATTGGTCGTAGTATAAAAGTTCTTCGATCAGATCGAGGAGGTGAATATTTGACCAATGAGTTTCTTGACTATTTAAGAGATAATGGGATTATTTCACAGTGGACACCTCCTGGAACTCCACAACTAAATGGGGTTTCAAAAAGAAGGAATCGAACATTGTTGGACATGGTTCGATCAATGATGAGTTCCACTAGTTTACCTCTTTCATTCTGGGGCTATGCCTTAGAAACAACAGCACATATTTTGAATAGAGTGCCAAGTAAAGCTGTACCCAGCACACCTTATGAGATATGGTGTGGCAAAACACCCTCGTACAAGTATTTAAAAGTATGGGGTTGTACTGCTTATGTGAAGCAGTTAGTGGGAGGTAAGTTGGATATGAGATCTATCTAATGTAAATTTGTGGGGTATCAAAAAGAGTCTATTGAATACTATTTCTATGACCCCTCTGAACAAAAAGTGTTTGTTTCGAGGAATGCTGTTTTCTTAGAGGAAGAGTTTCTCTCAAAGAAAGGTGGAGTCATAGAACTTAATGAAGAACCACAAGAAATTCCACAAAATACCACAAATAATATACCAGTAGAGACTGGACCATCTATAACACAACCTCTTCGGAGATCTGAAAGGATTTCTAGGGCGCCTGAGAGGCTATACCTATTGTTAGAGAACAATGAAGAGGGACTCCTTTTGGATAATGATCCAATAAGCTATGATGAGGCAATGTTGGACATTGACTCAGATAAATGGCAAGAAGCTATGCAATCTGAGATAGATTCCATGTATTCAAACAAAGATGGACTTTGGTTGAACCACCACAGGGTATTGTACTCATAGGTTGTAAATGGGTTT